GGGGGGTGGTTCAGCTTCGCGCGAAATGCCCGCTGTTTCGGTGCTTGAAATTAAACGTGGAAAGTACGGAAAGCAGGCGGAGAACAAAGTCCCAGCTGCGATTGTGATAATTGGTTTTTTTCCCCCTGAGCAATAGAGCCGTCTCATCTATGCTGCTTTCCTGTTTTTTTTTTTACAAGTATTTATACTTGCTTTCCTGTCTTTAACGTTGTTTAAACGTTGTTCAGCCTGGAGCAGAGGAGGCTGAGGGGAGCCCTCATCGCCCTCTACAACTGCCTGACAGGAGGGGGGAGCGAGGTGGGGGTCGGCCTCTTCTCCCTGGGAACAGATGATAGGACAAGGGGGAATGGTCTGAAGTTGTGCCAGGGCAGGTTTAGGCTAGACATTAGGAAAAACTTCTTCACCGAAAGGGCTGTCAGGCTCTGGAATGGGCTGCCCAGGGAGGTGGTCGAGTCCCCATCCTTGGAGGTATTTAAAAGAAGGATAGATGAGGTGCTTAGGGACAGGGTTTAGTGGTGGGATGGCAGGGTTAGGTTAAAGGTTGGACTCGATGATCTCAAAGGTCTTTTCCAACCAAAGTGATTCTATGATTCTATAATTTTACAAGTATTTATACTTGTTATTTTATGGTAAATTTCAGTCAGCTTATCTTCCTCAAGAGCACTGCGTTTTTTTCTTTTACTCGGAGGTGACTGAATTGTATGTCTTCTAAGAGAAGAAAAAAAAAAACCAACACCCCCCCCCCCCCCCCCCTGCCACTTCACAGCAAATCGTAATGCCTACCGTTAGCCAAAGGCTAGATATCTATCGTATAAACAGTGAGGTAGGTCCAAAGAACCATGAGTCAGAGACATGTTGTGATGAGGCTCTCTCTGCCCTTCTGTGTCTGGCTCAGCCATTCCTCTGACCTCCTCCGAGCCTAGCTAGGCAACCACCCCAAACACGCACCCCCAGCACGGGGCTCGGAGGCAGGGTTTGTTAGCTGGCCTGGAAAGGCTAGATATCTATCGTATAAACAGTGAGGTAGGTCCAAAGAACCATGAGTCAGAGACATGTTGTGATGAGGCTCTCTCTGCCCTTCTGTGTCTGGCTCAGCCATTCCTCTGACCTCCTCCGAGCCTAGCTAGGCAACCACCCCAAACACGCACCCCCAGCACGGGGCTCGGAGGCAGGGTTTGTTAGCTGGCCTGGGGCAGCAGCCTGCTAACAGGGCTGCTCTGTTTCAAAATCTGCACTGGTATACCAGAATAGGGCTGCGTCTGCAAGCCTCTAGTACAGCCAGAGAGGTTGCACGCTGTACGCACAGCTAAGATCAACTGTAGGCAAGAGCAGTGGGCTGAGCTCAGCAAGGGTGCTTCTGGATAAAAATAAATTCTCTCAAAATTTTAGGATGATTTGCGCGTGTTCATCGCTATGTGATAAATGGAACGAAAGAAAAAAAAGATTTGGCTCAGAATTTGCTAGTCAGCCTCTTCTAATTCCTGATTCTAATGTGCAAAAGGCAAGGAAAACAGGAACAAGTCCAGGAATGGAATTTATAGCTGATCTCAAATGTCACTAAAGGAAGGACTCATCCAACCCCAAAAAGATTTCGAGTGTGGTTATATAATTAGCAGTGAAGCTGTCTCTTCATCGCACTGTTTTTATTTCACCGCTGTGCATACATTGTTGGTTTAAAAAGGGAAATAAATTATGTTTATCAAAAAACATTTTCTCTTAGCTTCAAAACGTTATAAAAATATTGTCAGTAACTTGTAGATGAATATTTAGGGGGGAAAAAATAGTTGTTGGTAGAAATGTATTATCATTACAAATATATTTACTGCTGATCAGTTGCTGCTTGTTTTAAGGTCTGCATTTTTGTTCCTTTATTCCTCTCTCCAGGATTTGGAATGCTTTGACTGATAATTATGGTAACGTAATGCCAGTTGACTGGAAATCTTCCCACACCAGAGCTTTGCACTTGCCAACACTGAATCTTTCAGAAAAAGGGGTAAGTTCTGATAAGCAGAAATACACTCAGCAGGGAAATAAAACAATTTGCATTTGTATAAAAGAGTGTTGTTATAAAATGGCTTAAAATATTTTTAGTGCTTGGCATTATACATGAGAGGTTTTTAAAAATCAAACCACCATTGAAGTATGTTTGCATCTCCTTGAGTTAGAATAAGTCTGGGTTAGTTTTAGATGGATGTTCGTTAGAGCCAGAGCTTGATGGAAGAAATTGTAAAATGAGAAAGTGTTCCACATAAAAGCTTTCTACTGTCTGTTTCTTGTTGAAATGTTAAACCTTTCTGGATAAGGGAGGAAAAGAGGCAGGAGTACTCTGATTTAGTAAATCCAGTATGGACTTAAGTTCATCCCATTCTGCAGTCAGGTGGAGACAAAAGTGGCTTATTTTACAGGAAAGGTGACCCAGGAGACACTGAAGTGCAAGAGTTTGTTTTGTTTTGTTTTTCTTATTTAACAGGTAGAACAGTTGTCTGGGGAGAGAGCAGGGCGTGAAGAGCTTCAGAGAGGTTTAGAGAAAGAGTTGTCCTCTGATCTTCTTAAAAGTGGATTAAAATGCTTCAGGAAGAAAAAATAGGAAGAATTCCCATCTCCCAGGTCTTCTGAGGAAACGAGTGGCTTATCTTTTAAATGTAGTGAAGTTATGTTGTAAAAATATCTGTGTGTGTAACCTGAGAATAAGGTAATGCTTTGACTTCTGCCATCCATTATATAAACAACAGCTACTTTTTACTGCAACGGTAACAAAGATTGTCCCGCTGAAGAGGATACTTTGGTGTTTGGCAGGGGAGGATGGCAATTTGGAATTCACTTTCTTGATTTGAGTCTGATGAATTTCCCTTTAATTTGACTTGTGTTTATTCTAATTTTTATTAGAGTGTTTGTACAGATTTTGTAAGTGGTTCTAGAGTAATTAAATCCTTACTTTAAAGTAAAAAGCCTTAAAAGCCCCCATGCTGTGACCTTGTTGTTGTGTGACTGAAAAATGGACCGGAAGACTGATGGATTCCTTGATAAGGAACTAGGTAAAATATAAAAAAAGTTTCATATAGTTTTTGTAAATTGTTTGCGGGGAGTTATGAAGGAACTACATAAAAAAAACCCATAAAGTGGTGTTGCTGGATTAGAAAGAATCTTAGGTGTGCTGCCAGTAGAGGGAAAATAAGTTTATGGATTAAACATATCTCAAGTTTTTTTCAGCCTTCACTCCACCTGGCATGCCTTTTGATGTGTAAAGCCCATCTGTTTGGGAGCGTTTGACATACTTTTTTTATACTTCTCTGTGTTTCGGCGGTATTTCTAGATATGTGACAGCACATATGGATCAGCTACGTAGCTTGTTTTAACTTTCCTACAACGAATACTAACAGCTAAGCAACACTTCCTTGATGCGTTTGAAACTAATAATATGCTGTTGAACTTGTGCATAAAGTATTTATCTTCCTGTTTCAGTAGGAAAAAAATGTAAGGTGAATGAGGCTGATTCATCTCATCTTTGTTGCTTCATGTCACAGATCTGTGAACGCTTTTGTACGGCTCTGATGGCGAAAGAGGTAGTTGGGTGGAAGTGTTGTACAGTGGTACAAGGAACAGAATTGTGCAATTGCATGTTCATTGTATTTTTGTTAGATTACTTTTAAACAAGTTGTTCCCTGGTAGGATTGTGAGGACAGAAACAGGCACAGAGTGCGGCTGGGTGGAAGGCCAGGCGATCCTTTTGGCATCAGCTGTAGCTTGGGCTGGTTTAGGTGGTTTATTAGCCTAAATTATCAGAGTGTATTCTGAAAGTCTCTCAAAATGTTGTTTCTGGAGGTGTCAGGAGGGGAAGCTGACCTCCTTCTAGATAAACTGTCATCCTTGCTTACTGTCCCATAGTTGTCATAATCCTGTATACCTGGAAAAACATTTGAGGACTGCAGACACTAAAGAATGCCAAAACTGGGATGTATCTGTGCAGTAGGTGAACAGATATTCTTAGTGGAGCCCTGTCACTGCATGGTTATTGCAAATCAGATCCCGAAAGAAGTGGGCGTTTGACTTCATTCTGACAGCTGAAGAAATAAAAATTCTATGTTTTCCCCTATTGACTACCTATCTGGGGCTATCAGTAGCGTCTTCAAAATGAATCTGGAAACTATTAAGGTTTCTCAAGAAACTGGGAAGACTGGAGGAATGACAACAGAAATTGAAAACTGATACAGTGAGACCTAGGACTTTATACAGCTAGTCATAATGCTTGTAAATTAGCTCACAGGTCAGTTAAAGGGATTGAGCTCAAAATGTCAAAGGCTAGGGGTTGCAGCTTTTGGGGGCTGGGGGGTTTTTCTCGGTTGGTTTGGCTGGCATCTAGTAATAGACAAAGTACAGAAAAAGCAATCAACTTTGTAGATAAACTAGAATATATCACCATGTGAGAGTAAAATATACGTGACTGATTAAGGAGGGGACTTAAATATTTTCTTTTACTCTATGTACATAATCTTTGGTTTTGAAGGGTGTGTGTAATTTGATGGTATATGTGCGGGAACAGCATTACTTCTGTTTATTTTAAAAATATATTGTTGAGTATCTCAGGGTCTTTAAAAAAAGAATCTGGGGTGATAACCATGTTCTGGTTTTTAAAACACCTTTTCTTGTGTGTCTTTTATATGAAAAAGTATAACTATAAAAGCATGTAAAATTACAGGTTTGTATAATGTTAGAGATAGGTTTTCACCCCACACTGACAAATGTATATATATCGTCATTTAAAGATCTACATTGGATTGACTGCCTTCTGTGCAGATATCTGCATGTCACTGTGTATATGGTTTTTATATGCTGAGGGTATTTCAAGAGTGACAGCTGTTTTAACTTTCTCCAGTTGCAGTTTTGATTTCGGTTGTTAAGCTACTTCAGTTTCCAGGTATTTGACAGCAAGAATCATTGATTCCATTATTATGGGCAAGGAATCTGTTTCATTCTTAAAATTCAGTATTAGTTCCCCTTTTGTTTTTTATGTATATACATATATTTTTATATATATACACACACACACACACACACAAATGTGTGTATTGCTATTTATATAAATGCAAATTTTCCTGCTTTCTAGGTAAATGATAACTTGAACCTTGACCTGTCAGATGATGAAGAGCTGAGAGAACAGTTGGATATGCATTCTATCATTGTTTCCTGCATCAACGATGAACCACTCTTCACAGCAGAGCAGGTAGAGTGTTCAGCAAAGACAGTGGTGTTGCAGAAGTACTTGCTTTTAGTCCGTGACTATTTTTTGTTCTTCTTCCTTGCTGTTCACCCTAGCTAAGCTTCTTGACTGATCTTTATTTAGGGTCATAATAATGTGTGAGATTATTATTACATCATTCAGATTTGAAAAATATTCGAGTGCTTCAGGTCAGGTTGACAGTCCAGGGTCTTTGAAATCTTCATGAATTTCTTACCATGAATTAGTCAGAAATACTACTGAATTAAGCATATATGTTGCAAAGCAAAAATACTTTCAGAATGTTGGTGGTATTGTAGAGTTTGTAGTTTTCTAGTGTGACTGTATGGCCATTCGTATCTTCATGTGGCTTTGTGCTTAGCAAGAATTCTTTGACGTTTTTGCCTAACATGAGAGCAGATCAAAAATCTGCTACTGAGCTTTCAAATTACTTAATGCCTAAAGGCTTCTGTTCCAAATACATGCATTTACTTCAGTTACCTTGAAAATTCCTCTTTGAGTAAGGTTAATGACTGTCCATTAAGAACCTGTTTAGTAAGCAAACACAAGAATATATTTTCTTGTTTAAATGGTCACCTGTGAACTCTGATAAACCGGGTTATTAAGAGTACAAGAGGAGGATTGCCTGAACTGCCTCAGCTCTTTTTTACTCTGTGGTGGATCTCGGCACTGTCTACAGCTTTTAAACCTGTAAGAGTTGATGTGTTATTTATTCAGCTGTTCAGTTAATAATTTAGCGTGTAGAAAGATGGTAATTTCTGTACTGAAAAGTACAGATTTTCTGTTCTCATACTTTCTGTCTGGCTCAGGTCTTACACCTTGGGATGAAAATCAGCTTCAGGTTATGATGGATCAATTCATAAAATTTTTCATAAGCACAGTAGGTGTCCAGGTTATTCAGAGCTTTTTTTTTTTTTTTTTTGCTTAGAGGAGTGTAGTGAAGTGGGGGATGGGGAAGTAATTGATTTTTGTTGTTGCTTTTTTTCCCTTCAACTGAATGTTCAGGAAAGATATTCCAGTTCAATCTTCAGTTCAGTTCTCTTAAGCAGAACCATGTGTACCTTCATATAGAAATAAGCATGTAGTTTCAGCACACTGCTTGTTATGAGATCACCAATTTACATTGACAAGGTATTCTCAGAGCAAGGTTGGGGAGGAAATGTCAATATGATTTTGTTGATTCTCTTCCATCCAGTCTTGGTATTAGTTTCATCCAGCAGCATCTCTGCTAATTGAAAGTTTAAAAAAAAAAAAAAGCAAAACAAAAAACCTAAGTTCTTAGCAGCTTTACTTCAGATTGCAGGCTCCTTCTCTTCATGCAGGGGTTTTCATAAGGGTTTTCATTTTTCAAGGTGATTGAAGAAATAGAGGAAATGATGCAGGAATCGCCTGATCCAGAAGATGATGAAACGCCCACCCAATCAGATCGGCTCTCCATACTTTCCCAGGAAATTCAGACACTCAAGAGGTCCAGCACGAACAACAGCTATGAAGAGAGTAAGTGACACTCATTTTGTATTTTGCTCTTATGCTTATTGAAGATGGTTTAAAGGGTAAGTTTGCCATGTGTTTGATTTATAGCAAGTCCTTCTTATGAAATATCTGCATTCAAACATATTTTCAAAATGCCCTAAAAGAATAAACTAGATCTAGAACATAAACAGGAGACTTACCTTTGTCAGCTTTCATAACTGAGAATAAAAATAAAACTTTATAGGATTTCAAATTAAAGCAAATGTGCTGGAGCTTAATTCACTGGAATGAGGTCCCTTCATAGATAAAGTGGTAAGTCGATCATTTTTATTAAACTTTATTAATTTCTGTATTTTAAAGTGAGAAAGTTTCTTGAGGGCAGTGCACTGTGTTTAAGAAAATTAGCTAAAGCTCTCGAAAGCTATGCAGTAAATAAAGAAAATGGTGTTTCTTTGGTACTGTTTCAGTCACTGCAACGTATCTTGGTATAGAATAACACAAAAATAAGGCAACAGTTGCACTTTTTTTCCCCATAAGGTCCTTGGATATCTCTCTCCTCCCATTCCTCTTCAAAAAGTTAAAAAAAACCCCTTTGTATCTTCTTCTAATCAAATGAAATAATATCTTCTTCCCTATACAAAAGGAAAGGAGAAATTACATGTATAGCTTAATTGTAGTAGACTGAATTGTGTGTAAAAGAAGCCTGTGATTAATCAGTTTCATGATGGAAATTTGTTTCATCTGCACATTTGTCAGACATCAATTCTAGAAGGTGATAGGAACGCAAAGAATATTTGCTAGATGATCCTTCTACTCTGGTCCCTCTTACAAAGTTCGGTGCTTCCTTTCCTGTAGTCTGGGTCAGCAATATAAATTCTGTAGAAGATTCTGAAAACTGACTGACCCTTTGTGACATGACTTACAGTTTCTGCTACACTTCAGATTTATGGAGGAGATCCCATTTTCGTGGTTGGACTCTTAGCTGTTATCAACACATAAATTTCAGGAATGTGAAAACAAAGTGTATCCTGCTCAGCAGAGCTTCCTGCTTTTCTGACAGTTCCATATGTCCTTAGTTTGGAGCTAATCAAGCTTGCTTGGTATTTCGTATCATATTTATTTTGCTTTGCCTGAGGAGTTCAGCTTGTCTGTAGCATCTTTATGATTTAAAGGTCAGCCTTGACCAAACAATGCCTTGAGTAACTTTGGCAGATAATTTAACTTTGCTTCAGCAGTTTCTCAGAATCTGCTTTCATGTCACTATTTTATGAAAACCTCTTGATACCTTTTGTGTGTGTGTGTGTGAAGCTGCTTCAGAATTAGTCGGCATCTGTCTGAAACTGTTGCAGGGTTTTGCTAGAAACTGTCTGGCTTTTATAAGACAAGTCAGAGGTGTTAATATTTAGGATTGAGAACAGGAAGTCGAAGCTTGTATTTACTTTTTTTCTTGGATAGGAAAAGACGTGTGTTAAGACAGTCCAAAAATAAAACCAGTTACAGCTCTGGTTACACAGGTGAGTCCTTTAGCCTACATATCTAAGATTTAATCCAAGTAATCTTCTGCATTTTAATTACTCTGACTTCACTCACCTGTGTCAGCTGAGTAGTTCCTATGTGGCCCTTTTGTAGCGTTTGATAAGGACGACTAATCTATTACAAACAAGTTGGGTAATCTGCACCTATGTTTTTGGAACAATTGTTACGTAGGCTGTGAAGCTGGTTCTTAAGTGTTGTGACTCACTGGTGCTCTCTTCACTCTTCTTTCACAAAAAGAGAACAGTGGTGCAACCTATGCTTTTAGACTGTCCATTGTACTGAATGCACATGGAACTTACATTAATTTTTACCAGAGTATACTCAGTTTCACAGGCCATAAAGCCTATTTTGTGACTTGCACCTACAGAGAGCCAGATAATCTTGTCACTGAATTTGCCATTCTTTCCCCTGCTTATGTCTGAGTTGATGTTGCTATTTGCTGTTGCTGACAACCAGAACTGACTTTGGAAAAAGTTTTTGCAGTGGCAAGACCTGCTGTGGTATGTGCAATGACTGAGCACAGCCAAGATCTGCGTTACAAGTAGAGGCTATAACCTGCATACTACATACTTAGAGTAGTTTGAACAACAATATCACCTGATGGATGGTTCAAACTACTTGAAAATTAGATACTTAAGCATAGGGTACTGTTACAGTGTTTGAATAGAGTTTAAGGCCTAAGCTAGTCTGAAAAACTGTGGCTCCTTGCTGGAGAATTGCCTTAACAGTTTTCGTTGCTTTTTCTGTAGTGAGTGACAAGGACCTTTCTCCAATCAGTTTTCCGTGTGGTAATTTGAGGGAAAAATCACATTTCACTTACTACCTCTGATGCTTCTAAGAGCTATACTTTTTTATCGTTTGTGGCCTTATTTGTATTTTTCAACACTTGTCCATAGGTATTTTCACTGATAACAGGGTTTTTTTTAGACATGACATTTACTAAACAAATCCAATGTAACCAAATAATTGTGAACATCTATGCAGTGTCCTTAAAGAGATCGTACCTTTCAGTATAACCAGGAGTAGCTGTTTCTCAAATGCCGATGAAAATTGTGTTGTTTGACATAGCAAATGCTGGGACTTTTGAGCTTCCGAAGTGTGTCAGACTTAATTGGGAATGGAAAGCAGTCCTTAAAGAACATGCTCACTTTTAACCCAAGCAAGCCTCAGAACATTTTTCGTGGTCATAATTTCACTCTCTGTAAAACATGACCCAACAGTACCTTTAAAATGCAAACCTGGAGGGGTTTTTTGTTTCCAAACTGACATTTTACAGGCTCCTGATTTAGCTTTGACCAATTCAGTCTCATGCTTTCTCAAAACTATTAATGCTTATTTTTGATTGAAATGAGCCTGTCAGCTAATTTTGATCTAGGTCTTTGTTTCCGGCAATGCAAGGCCATGCTTTTGACTGCAATCCCCAGGCAAAGAAAATCTGGAGGATTTTGTTGGGTTTTTTTACTAAATGCATCTAAAAATATTATCATAAAAGCTTGGCACAAGCCTTTATTAATATGCATGCATACATTAGCAATATCCTCAAGAAGATTCCCTCACTCATAGTTTCTGTATTGCTGTAGGTGAAAAATCCAAGGATTCCAGAAATGCCAAAGTGTTGATTGTTGTGTCAGAAAATATGGAGACCTTTTACTTTGAACAGTGAGTGTAGGTGGAAAGCAATAGTTAACAGAGGTGCAGTATTAGAAGTTTGGCACTTACTTCAGCTTCCTTAACTGCAAGAGCAGATTATCACAGATTTCTCAGAAATAAGAAAATTTAACATCTTCTTGTTGCTAATCTAGTTGCCTCTGTGATGTGTTTATTGCTTTAGGAATATTGGTTTGTTCTATGTAGAATTGAATATTTTGTTCAAAAAATTTCAGAGTACTTTTTTCTTGTAATTCCCACAAGTATTCTCATGCTTAAAATCTTGACATATTACTTTTTATATGAACTATTTATAGGAGTAAAGAGATTGTCTGTTGCTGAGTTAAATGAACTGCTAGAAGAAATTGAGACTGCTATTAAGGATTATTCTGAGGAACTGGTACAGCAGTTGGCTCTACGAGATGAGTTGGAGTTTGAGAAGGAAGTGAAAAACAGCTTCATTTCTGTCCTCATCGAAGTACAAAACAAACAGAGAGAACACAAAGAAACGGCAAAGAAGAAAAAGAAGCTGAAAAATGGTAGTCCTCAGAATGGCAAACAAGAAAGAGGTCATATGCCTGGAACAGTAAGAAAATTTTTGTAACTATTTATACGTTCAAAGTATTTTTTTGTTTTTCCCTATGGGAAGTGGTAGTCCTAGATCATATCAAGATACCTGGTACTCCTGCTTCCATGCCTTCCTTCACAGGCAAGGCTTAGGCACTTCCTATGGAGGGGTTTTTTTTTTCCACAAGGTCGTATAAAATTTTACTCTTATAGTCAAAAAAGATTTTTTTTTTTTTTTTAATTGATTGCAAATTAGCCTGGAATCAGCATTCCTTTCTTGCAAAAAATACTGTCTTTGGATATACTGCTGTGTGTTCTATTGTCAGTAGGCAAACTCATTTATCTGTTTGGTTTCACTGTGTGAATTTTATTATGTGTGTACCACTGTTAGTCTTGCAGGAAACTGAGTAGTATTGTTAGTGTAGTTGTACAGATATTTATTGATCATGTTGATTTTCAGGTAGCAAAAAAAGTCCAAGTCTTACCCTGGATCTCTTGAAACCTGTGGCAGTTACTGTGTCCAAGGAGAGACAGGGGTGAGGTCAAAGTGTAGTGCAGGTGTACAGGGAGGAGGTAATTTGGTTTATTCTTTACAGGACATAGCAACAAAAGGAAAAACGTCTTTCAATCAGAGTTTGACTAATAGGAAGCAGAGAATGAGAGAAATTAGGTTATTATCTTGTCAATGCAATTTTTTCTTTCTTATCTGTCTAGTATAATTTTAAATTACTCAAGTGGGATATTAATGTTAGAATTTCTTAGTGTCTCTTATAGATGTGGAAAATGAGGTTAATGTATTGTAGATCTTGGCTAAGTCCCAGAAAGAATGCTTCAGTTTGATATCAGAAGGTTTTTAGGTTTGTTTTTCGAACATAAAGAGTAAACATTTGTAATGAAACATGAATTATTCAGAATTTACAAGAATAAGATACCTGTGTTATAATCCAAATGGAATTCTGGCCTTCTCTGCCTAATGAAAAGTGTTTGTGTACATAGCTAAATTTTAATGGAACTCTAAGGAAGTATATGTCTGGAAAACAATACAAAATTGTCAACCCTTTGCAAGAGCACAGTGAAAAGTTCAAATGTACTCTTTTTTTGGTTGTCAGGCACAGAAAACCAAAAAGTGCTGTTCTAACTAGAAAGAAAAACAATTATTTGGTTTGGGCACTTTGGTCAAGTGACTCATAAGCTATTCTGGTTGCTTTCAAGTTTAGAGACTTGAATGATGCTTTCATGTACGTGGTCCCAATATAAGACATTTTCATGTTTGGTTGCTTCAAGGTATAGATGTATCAAATTGCTTTCTGAGAGGGATTGAATGAACTAGCTCCCAAGTAAGACTGTAGGCTGTGTGTGTGTGGTTCCTTTGAAAATAGCTTTCGCTATCACCAAGTACAGATTTGAGAGCCTTCTCCCAAAAAGAGGTGCAAGCTTCCTTCCTTCAACACTTTTTTTTTTTTTTTTATTTAAGGAAGTGCTGAGAATGTGCATACAGGCAGTATGTTCAAGTAACTTTGTGACGAGTGAGTTTCTGTTAATAAATAATGTCTAAATCAATAACTTTATTAACTAAAACAATAATGAAGTCTCATTTAAATACAGAGCTTGGAAGTAGGTTAAATTTTCATACGCTTAAGAAAATCAATTCTCCTGTAGATATTAAAATTGAATTTCAGTAAATAGAGGTTTTAATTCTCTGTCCTTGATACAGTCTTTGGGTAAATCACTTTCTTAGACTTCTAAAACTTTTACCTCTCTCACAAGGACAAACTGGGGAGTAATTAAAAATAGTCAGGGCTTGAAGATACCAATTCCTTTAAGCAGGATATCTTAAAAGAGTTAAGATGGCTTGGGCAACATCTATGTCTTATTACTGACCTCGTTGTGCTTTAGAAGGTAAATGAATACTGTATTCCAGCACATTTTATTCCCCCTCCCACAGATAAATACATTCAGGTAAACGTGCTGAGGTGTGCACATCACACTGCCCTGTGTCAGCAGCTTGACAGTTTCTTCTTTTTATGTTCTTGTCAGTTGCTGGTTTTTATATTTCATACTAAACATCAAAACTTTTTTGGTGTTTGGTTTGTTTTTTGGGTTTTTTTACTTCTCTAGCAAGCAAAAAGGATTACAAAGTTCAAGAAAATGTGGTTGGATTATATATTAATTTTGTTCTTTACTTGGGATTCCATGATCCATGCTACGAAATTAATATGGGTGTGTCATTAACTAGTTGTGTATATTTTATAATATTACAAAAAAATGGGAATACTAGTTGTTGCTTCAGTTGTGGAAAAGGAAGCATGAAAGCATAAAATGTTTCAAAGAAGTAGAGCTGAAAATTACTACCTCTGAACAGTGTTTCTAGTAGCTGCTTAAAATCTGAAAAATTGGTATCGACAATGTCTCTAAAAGTATATTGCTCAAACACTAATTTTGAAGGAGATTGTACTGTGAACAAAGCCTACAAAAATACTAATTTTTTACATTTTGAAATGAAACAGCCTTAAAAGGCAAGTCTCAATTATTGGGTCTGCAGTGTGAAGATTTTGTTTGATTAAAATTTGATGCACATATACTGCTTAACTGCCATTATATGGTGTGCTTTTTAGTTACAAAAATTAAGTAGGTGAATGAAAAAAAATAGAAATGTGCTGAAATACATTATAGAGCTTGTCTTTGACATTCGTCTTTTATAGTCTTAATAAATGCTGATTAATAGTCTTCTGAACTTTTCTCTGTCCCTTTTTTTCTTTCTGCTATGTTTTCACTACTTTTAGCGCTTCAGCATGGAAGGGATCTCAAATGTCATACAGAATGGCTTCCGCCACACGTTTGGAAACTCGGGTGGAGAGAAACAGGTGCTGGGCTATCTTCTCTCTTTTCCTTATTCTTTGCCTGCACTTTCGGTAGGAGCCAAGATCTTGAAAATGGGCAGTAGTTGAAGATAAATGCTGAGACAGGAAAAAATAGGAGAAGAATGTTGGAATCTGTCCTCTTCCCCTGCCTCAGGACTCTGATCAGCCTGCAATCTCTTTCTCTCCCCAACAGCTCAAGACAGGACTTGATATCCTGATGCACTGAAATAAGAAATAAGGGTTATTACCCCAGATTAGAAGTCTGTTTTGGCATAGTGCATGCTTCAAATACATTGCATGTCTGTAAAAATCTAATATCCAATCGAAGAATATGTATCAGGTTAGATGTAACATTTCAGCCTTCAGCCTTAAGGACTTAGGGTAACACCTACAACTGAAAAAAAGTTTTGTTTTCTTTTTTCTTCAAAGGTTCAGAGCTGACATATCTAAAAACATAGTAGCATCTGGAAGATGCATGGACTCTATTATATGTCTTTTTACCTTTGAAAACTGCACGATGTTAAAAGCAGCCAAATGTGTGCAATGCAGATTACTGATAGAAAATACATAAGCCATAGGCAAGCACGTGGCTTTTGGTTGACTATTTAAATGTTGAAATATACAGCACAGAGACCCAGCTTCAGTGGGTATCGCTGCAGATGTTACATATACCTAAGAAGCAAGATGCTTTCAAAGTAATACTTAATTGCTTGTTTTCAGAACTGTCGTATGTATTTTATTAAATGCATTCTGTATTTTCGTAAAGTGTTAATGCTTATGCTGTCATTTAGGCTTTTGGCACAGGTTACAAAATACGGTATTTCGCATTATTTAACACATACCCATCTATTGTAGTTTATGCAGTTCTGTCAGAGGAGTGTGTTTAGGTTGGGTTTGGTTGTTTGGGTTTTTTTCCCCCCCTGGTGAGAAGTCCATTGAGGCAATAAACTGCCTGGTAGTTTAGAAGTCATGGCTGATTAGGCTTTTGTCTGGAAGATGCAGTATCTCAAGATACTGCAGAGGAGTTCAGGAGGTAAAACAACTCCTTCCAAGTCATTCCTGAATCATGAGGTTAGAAATCATGGACTTACCCTCTTTCTCAAGCAAGGTATATATATGAGAGTTGATGAGTACATAAATCCAGCTGTTTGTCCCCAGCTTTGGAGATATTGAACACACGCATAGAGCTTGCCTAACAGAGTTTTTATCACTCTACATTATCTCAATACTGGTAAAGTAATAGCTGTGCTGATGGGTTTTTTTCTTTGCTATCTTTACCATTTAATAATAAATGACAGCTGTTTACCTCTAGCTAATTTAAACATCATGTATTTTCATAAAATGAACATACTTAGCTATGCCAGCCCCTCTTACTTATGGTTAAAAGACTTCTTTTATATGCATGTCTCTCTTGAAATACACCTTTTCTTCTTTGACTGCCTCCTAACTTCCTAGACATAAGTAGCATAATCATGTATTAACAATAACATTAATTGGATAACTGTCCCAGTCATTTTTTGAGTTAGTTTATTAGTGTTATTCTTTTCCCCTGATACTATATATCCTTGGTAGCAGGGTTACGTTGGGGTTTTTTTTTTTTCCCTTCCTGTATCCTAAAGCCAATCATGGAAATAACAAGAACTTAAAATGAAAAATAAGGGATAAAAGTAGGAAAGATACTAGCTCTTTTCTGATTTAGTCCTGGAAATCCATTTTTCTATGGCATTTGGGTTTTGTTTGGGGTTTTTTGTTTGGTTGTTTTTTGTCACATTACGAAACCCTGGCCCTGCTTTTAAAATATTGGTGTCATCTTAATGCAGCAAGTTGCAAAGTAGAAAAAATTATCAGATGCTCAGTTGCTTAGTACTGCTCTCAGACTATTCGAGTGTTTTTCGGGGTTTATTGTCATTCTAAATTCATGTTCAGGTGTTCCCTGCTAGCAGGGAAGAGTTAGGTACCAGCCTGGAGTTGTGCTCCAAAAAAAAGAGTGTGCCTTAAAAGGTACAAGTTCATACACATAAAATCACAGCATAAAGTTTATGGCAAGTTTGTACAGTTATTTCAGAACTCTCTTCAGTCTTTAGTTTTAATGGTGTTTACTACCTTTACTGCTTTCTGGCTAGTATTACTCTGATAGTGGGTACTTTCGTTTTTAAAATTTTAGTCCTTTTTGTGTGTGTGTGTGTTTGAGACATAAGTGAAAATGGCTTGGAATTTTTCAGTGTTTAAAGAGAAACTTCCAGTGGGAATTGCCTGTTCCCATCTGATAATGCACTTGGAAAAAAACAACACCAACTGCATATAACCCATTGAAATGTTGGTAGCTCTTTCTGTGATCATATTTCCGGAAGAAAATTCAAGATAGTCCTCTTCATTTCAATTTTTAGGCATATTGAATGCTTTTTATGGGTGGTTACAAATTGCAGTGGGAATTGCTGCTTATCATATTGTCAAATCTGCTTCAAAAATGTAGAGGTCACAGTGGGCTTAATACTTGGGTGTGTCAGTAAGCTGCACTTCAGTCATTTTTTTCTTCCTTTTCATAATGTGTTATCTTCACACAGCAATTCAGGGAATGAGTTTTTATGGTGCTATTACAAAGACATTGTTGCAGCAGCAAAGTACTGATGAGAAAAACAAGATGATTTCTGGAAACTGAGAAAGAAATTGCTTTTTTTTTTTTTTTTTTTTTATTACTATTAGGAAAATTGGAAGGTGGAGTTTAGAGGAGAAGGAAAACAGGGAATATTGGTATTTGGTCCAGTGAAACGTGTCCTAGCAATGTATTGTGTAGATTCAGGGTAGAAAGCCACTTAGTTTTGAAGGCTGCAAATGACAGCCTGGGATCTGATTTATGAGTTAGTAGATAATTCTTTCATCTCTGTGCATTTGCAGATTTAACAGCCTTATATCTAACTATTGATTCTGGTAATTTAATTAAGAGTGTAAATCTCTAATGATAAGCTGTTGGTTGCATCTGCTGGGAGAGAAATTGCAGTGCTTCTTAGGAAACAGTCAATTTCCATACTTCCCTCTGCTGTGCTAAGTGGATGTGAGATAATGCAAAGGGAACAGGGTGGGAGAAAAGCGCCCTGTGTTTGCATAAGGTCTTGGTGAGGTGGCAGTACATCCCATACAATAGGTTCCCTGAAGTTAGACGGAATTGAGTCTGTCTGGCTTTTAGGCAGAGGATAGGGTTGGGCCTGAGGTGCATAGCATTTGAGGCTAGACATTAGGAAAGATTTCTTTACCGAAAGGGTTGTCAGGCTCTGGAATGGGCTGCCCAGGGAGGTGGTCGAGTCCCCATCCCTGGAGGTATTTAAAAGAAGGATAGATGAGGTGCTTAGGGCCATGGTTTAGTGGTGGGATGGCAGGGTTGGGTTAACGGTTGGACTCGATGATCTTAAAGGTCTTTTCCAACCAAAGCGATTCTATGATTCTATTCTATAAGCCCGCTCTAAACACCGCAATGGTTATAGCTACGTTCAGCAGCACTAAATCTCCTTCTGCAAAGTGAACCTCTTCACCAGAGTCTGAGTTACAGTTGCCTCTCGCTGAAGTGCTGCTACTAGGACAGGAGGAGACCTTGTATGTGACATGTTTTCTGACTGTTGCGTGGAGAACATCGTGTATCTCAAGGTGAATGAGAGGCAGAAGGTTGCTTTGCCTGCTGCCTTGTAGCTGTTAGCCCAAAATAAAGTTCGTGTTAAATTATTTAAAAATTAATTGAGGGAGACTTCAGGAAGCTTTTTCATTACGGAAAACTCCAGTGATTTCAGTACTTTTGAAATGCTGACCTCTTCATATGAATGCATATTCTTCTTAGGCTGTACAGCAAGATGTGGCCTAAATGCATTTAATAAAAGTGTTAGAGCAACAGGGTTGCTTCAGGAGTTTGAAAATAAATATTGGTCGCATTCCTGGTAGGAAAATCCTGAAAGATTGAAGAAAACTTTTGGGTTGAGTTTTTTGGGTTTTGTTTGGTGTTTGGGGAGGGGGGAGTCGGTGGGTGGTGGTTTGGTTTGGGTTTTTTTTAAAGCTGACAATGAAAGATTTCAGTAAAGAGTAAATAAGACAAGAGTGGAGTTGGTTTCAAACAATCTGCTGGCATACTTGCCTACTAAAACTGAAAATAGAAATCAAAATCCAACTGGTGGGCTCTCATGTTTAATTAGACTTGGTTTGTACCCTTTGGTTGGAAGTGTGTAAGGTCAGAAGGCAAAAGTCACCTGTTTTCATTTTCACCTAACTGTAGGGCAGCCCAGCTTTTCTTTGTGCAGAGGACTATAGGTCACCTTTGGAGCTGAGACTGGGCAACGCTCTTTGATCTGTCAGAATCCTTGGAATGTCTCGCTTTTTTGTGTGTGTGTACTTACTGGAAAGAAAGAATTACTTCCTGATTTTTTTTTTTTTGCGGGGGTGGATACAACTGGTTACACTCCCATGATATTTCTACTTTTTTTTTTAAGAGCAAGTGTGAAAATTGTTCATCTGTATTTGTAGTGGGTTTTGTGGGGAGGTGGTGAGAAGGTTGTTCCTCCAGCTTTTATTTCTTTGTAAGAATTATTTTAAATACATGAAGCACTTCTGGAGGGAGGAGAGGAAAGATTTTACTATTGGTGGCTCTGAGGTAGAAACCTAATGGAGAAACTTCACTGTAAGCAGCTCCAATTTTTTAAATACTTTTTTTTTTTCAGTGTTCAGCTGCATGACTGTTAAAGTGAATGTTCACATCATTTGAAAAAAAAAAAAGTAGTTGGCTTCTCTGATAAAAGCTTTGGGATAAGAGAGGTAGAATCTTAATCTCTTGTGAAATATGATCTTTAGAAAAGCTGTTATTTGTGGCTAGCAATTTCAGTTGCTACGATTTTTTGTAAAATAAAAACACAAGCAATATAAATTGCATGGAAGGACTGTCAGGTAACTCTTGTTTTTCATTTGGCAGTACTTAACAACTGTCATTCCTTATGAGAAGAAAAATGGACCCCCATCCGTTGAAGATCTTCAGACATTAACCAAAAGTGAGCATATGTTTCCTCTTTGTATTTCCAACTGTGGTTGCTCAAAACCAATGAATCGTAGTTATGTCTTCCCCCTTACCTAACTATGGCATGTATATAAATATGTATGCGTGATTTTTAACCATGGATTTTGGCCAGTTTTTACTTGTTTTCTGAGCCTGTTTGTTTTCTAGCTGTTCTCTGAAACCCTCAAGGCTAGAAATTTGCATGTATCCAAAACTAAATGCTCTCACGTTAGTTCGACAGGTGAGCCTTGCAGAAATACCACGTCATGGAAGTCGGCGATACTGTCTTAATAGTGCCTGATATACCCCTGTTTGTTTAAAATTGCTGTCCTTTATTGAGGTTACTGTAATGATCTTGAAAAACTGGAATGGGGACACTTATGAGTAGTTGTCTAATGATTGCACTTGATTGCTTTTAAAATAGCCTGCTTCTCTCTGGGTGGTTCGGGTTGGGTTTGTTGGGGTTTTTTTTTGTTAATAAATTTTAATGATTAGGGAGTATAAACCAGAGTTTTGACAGTGCTTTGAATTCCCCTTTCTTCACATCTTTTTAGGCTAGATCCTCAAAATTTATAAGTTCTGAGTCCTCTGGTTTTTATTCTAATTTGCATGAAAAATAAGGTTGTATTTTAAAAAACCCCAATTATTAAGGTGGTTAAATACAGGAGAGCATCTCTGGGAATCAGTGTGGCATCTCCATTTGAGGTTTATAGGAACAGTTTAAAGATAGATAGTAGAGTGCCTCAATGTATTTGATCAGTGCAGGGCTTAGAGTCTATGTCTTAAGGTACTTTCCAGCAGCTCAGGTCTGTGATTCCACAGGTGGCTGAGGAATGGTAAAAGACTCATTGGTTTTTTTCCTGGAGAGACAAAATAAGTATTGTGCAAATTCTGGAGTAAATTAAATGTTTGAGCAAGAATTAAATGCCTTTTATTTTTCTGCAGTAGACACCTTCAGCTGGTAATGCACAGTTATTCTGTAACAAATGTATTTTTCACTTTCTGTTTACTCCTGCAGAGGAATTTTATCCTCTTGCCGTATTTAAATTTCACTTTAAAATATTCTCAAAAATTCAGTATTAAGCAGAGAGAGGTTTCAGCCTCCTGAAAACTTTTTGTGGTGTTTTGACAGTTTATTAACAAAATGTCTTGTACAAATGCACTGTAAAGGGCATTAACGGTACTGCCTTCTGTGGGCTGGCTGGACTTGATCCTGAGACTCAGTTGCAGATTTCTGACTTGCTCTCTGCGCTGTTGTTAAGGCAAGCAGTAAAGCAGGTGTTTGGGGTTGTTTGGTTGGTTTTTCTTTCAAAGCTGTGTATTATTCCATGGTTGTAAACACTAATAGCTTCAGCATAAAAATTGAAATAAAACAGTGGTTCTATTTTGAGCTCAGAGTCTCATATGAGGAATTTGGAGCTTATGAAATAGTGCTATTCAATATAATTCTGTACTTTTGATTATTTCAGTCATGTCCAGAGCACTTTGTAAAGATTTGTCACTGGTTTTGTTTATGGAGTAACAGACAAACTTATATGTGTCAAGTTGAGCTGGTCCAAACCTTTTTCCTTCTTCAGAAATATGCGTGGACAATTTTGACTTGCCGTAAGTCACAAAAATGGAATTTTGGCATTATTCTAAGTTAATGGCAAATCCAATCATGTATTTAAGATATTTCTAAGCTGCAGTTGCTAACACTCACCATTTCAGGGGAAAAAAACCCAACACTTCCACAGCACTGTTTTCCCAGAAAAGTGTTGTTATTCCATGATTCAGTACGAAGGTCAAGGAAATAAATTAACGGAGCATACTTTTTTACCTGAGATTTCCAAGCCTCCCGCAGTTATTAGCATATATTAGGTTTGGATGTGGTGACTTTCTTTTGGAGGTTTTTTGTTTTTTTTTTTTTTTTTAATAGGGAAGAGGTACTTTTTGTGTTGTTATGACTGGTGACATTTTACTGTAATAATTAACCATGTAAAATGGGTCTCTTGCATCCATCTACTGCGGAGCTCAGTGCGAATTACACAAGTGAAAGATGGAGATACGACATGTCTCATTGTATCTTCTCATTCCAGTGAAGAGTTTTCTTACTAATCTCGCAGTAATGTCCCTATGAGTAGTTGAAACAGCTTCATGGTATTTTTTTTGAGAGTCTCGCCTTCATGACTAAATATCTGATTTATTTATATTTTTTTTTCCATACTTCAGTCCTGCATGCCATGAAAGAGGATAGCGAGAAAGTGCCAAGCTTGTTAACAGACTATATTTTAAAGGGTGAGTATGTTTCTTAGCAGGGATTTTTGTATTCTAAATGAACTTAATGTACATACAAGGTATGTTTGAAAAAGAGTAGTCCTACAGCATTCAGGAATTATGTTGCCCTTCTATGAAACACAGCTCTCATTTGTATTCTCTTCTATTTTGTCTAAGGTTTCTGAGCATGTAGTTCATAAATCAAACGTATTTATTTTGTTTGTGATAGTATAATACAGCGAAGTGTGTGGTGTATAGTCATATAGCTAAAGGACATCAGCAGGAGCAGAGTGGTCTGGCTTACAAAGTTAAATGGGTGTAATTGAAAACTTGTGTTGTACAGGTTTTTCAGAATCCGTATTCAAACTGCCTATGGTAATCACGGATTTGCTAGATAAAGTGCATATAGCTTCATTTTAAGTGTTACCTTTTGCATTCACTCGTTATACCTTCTTCATGTTTTATTTAAGAGGTTTGTGTACTAATCATTTATTTTCTAGCCTTATACATTAATTGTATTAATAGAATGTCAGACACTGAAAATCACTGCTTGCTTTAGCTTTAAGGAGTTGTTCCAGGTAGTTTCCAGGTTGTTAAATTACTTTTAAATGTTTTTCTTCTGACTTCATTTTTGCCTAGATCTTGTTAATGTTTATGTTCTTACTTAATTCTTGACATATAAATGGTACCATCTTCTTTAGTGTTTAAAGTTTAGCACATGCATCAAACTCCAAAGATCTGAACAAACGGATGTATAAAAGGATGATGGATGTCTTTTTATTTGACACTCAGATGTATGTTATGTTCTGCTTCATGTTTGTATGCTGCAAATTTTTTTCTCTTCTTGCAGTATCATGCTTTCCAAGTCTCACTGTTTTCTCAAATACAGTCATTTGACTTAACTCCCTCCGTATGATTTTTAAAGGGTTTTGTATTTCTTACACAGACTTCTAATCACTCTCATCTCACAGAGATTTGAAAGTATTTTCAGGTTTAAGTTGTGGGTGAAATTCAGTGTGCTGTTGTTTCAGAAAACCTGAAAGGAGAGCCATGCAGTATTCTAGAAGCTCTGACAGACTTCCTGTTGGAAGAGGCTCATTTCTAAGTTCCATGTAGGGTTGCAGAACTACCACATATAATAAAAATGCAGACATCCTTTCAGTTGAATCCTTTGATTGCTTCGTTGTTTACTTACCCTTTCTGAAAATCCTTCTTATATTAGACAGATGTATTTGCTTATGAGCCAGGCGCCATTTAGGCTCAAGATCAAGGGTTTTTTTGATGGTGATGCCACTAAACTTTTGTTTTGTGAAGCAGAATCTTTGACCAAAGAGGATAAACTGTTGTCAATAATTAAACCTGTTTGGTTTTCATCATAATATGCTGGTAGAAACTGATTGGAATGAATAGCGCTCTTTACAGTGTCTGCTCTTATTTTTAGATGTAGCTAACCAGAAAAGCTTTCCGATTATTAGGATACTGAGAAGAAACTGGCTGCCTAGGGAAACAGAGAAATCTGCATAGAAGGCTTACTAAAGTAGATTAGCTGAACATATGACAGGATGATCAAGGAAGCTTGATGCTGAGGTTCCCTCCCACCTCTGCGTGCTCGTGACTTTAAAATCACCGGGGATGTTCTAGCTAGATGCAACGCTTATAAAAACATCATGCTCGTATTAAATGTGTTGAGTCAAACAGGTCTTCGTGTACAAGCACTGTCCTCTCTAAATTGTAAAACACAAATGATTGGAGTGTGAAAAGTAATCACTCGCATCACTCATACTGAAAGGAAAAGGTGATTTCCCCTCCACTGCCATGGTTTCATTACTGAACAGAACTAAGCCTTTCTCGTTCTTCTGTGGGTCTGTTTGCGTAACGGCAAGCAGTCGTACAAGCTAGTGAGCACAGTTTTACTTTTCCTTTCAATGTAGCCTTAACTAAGCTTCATGTGGCTGTGTTTAGATTACTGTAAATATTATAGCTCAGCTGACAGTGTCACATTGTAATGTACATTTACCCTGTGGAACAGGGAAAGTCTTCCAGTTGTTTCTGAAGTTGTAAGCTGTTTCTCTTCTTTTTCTGCCACTAAAACTTCTGCCCTTGAAGCCTCAGTGAGGCTTCATATGTGGCACAAAATACTCCCAGCCACCTGTCTATTGTCTGAAAATCATTTTTAAAGCTTGTTGAAGGGAGATTAGATGATTCTAAACAATCACTTGAAGCAAATTTCAGCTCAGCTTTTGTACCTGAAATTCCAACCTACGCCGTGAATTTCAAAATAAAAGGAGTGACCTACTTCTTAAAGAGTGTGCTCTCTTCACTAGAAAGATTAAAAATGTCTTGGCAAGGTGAAAATGATTATGAGGATTTAGGGGGTTGAATTTATTTGCCAAAAGAAACAGGAGGATAACAAGTTCTGGACCCAGTAATAATAATCTGTATGGTATAGTGATAACATTTGTTTGCTCTATGATCCAGCTATTGTCTTAGACTGAATGGATTCCGTATCTTTTTATAAAGCTTTAATCAAGAAATGGCATTTTGAAATATGTGAATTGTATCACCAAAGATACTTCTGTTAATATCTGTTAACTTCTTGTTCCTTTGAGGATCATTTTTTCCAATCTTACAACAAAAAAGCAGGCAGTAAATGATACATGACAACAGGATATGTGTCCTTATGGGAAATCCAGTTAGTGTGGCATTGTCAGCACAGGTTAAAAACCTTTCTAGCTCTATATTCCCTTTTACACAGCAAAGAAAAAAAAAATCTTACAAGTATAATATATAGAATAGAAAATATTCTATATTTTACACAGCAAAGAAAAAAAAAATCTTACAAGTAAGTTCTTAACAATTTTTTTTTAAAGCAGCACTGTCTTTTTATTCTGTGGTATTTAAAAAAAAATCAGAATACACTAGTCTTATGTGGGTGTTATGGCTGTCTACAGAATTAGTAATAAATTTGCCCGGATATTGTTGATTGCTGTTGAAAAGTTGCTTAGATTGTTCAGAATCAAGAGCTGAAGAAAAAATATCAGGAAAAAAGTGATTCTAACAATTGTCATAATACTGTTGGCGTAATGTAATGAGATAAATAAAAGAATAGTGCTGTGAACCTGGAAAAGTTAATGGAACTTTAAGATTGAGCAGTAAGTGTTGATTTAACAAGAAATCTTGCCAAATTCACTGGTGTTCTGATAAAACAAAAAGACAGTGAAATAAGTTTATATTTTCTCTAGATTTCATGCTGTTTTGTAGAAGTGTCACCATCTTGAATATCTTGAATCAAATGCTAAAATAATTCTGAAATTTGTGAAGGACTAAATTTGGATCATGTAGGAAGAAACACACAGGCCCCCTCCGTGTGTGTTGTCTAATACCTGATATCATCATTTAATAAGGATTGAGTAAATTCGGTTTGGAGCTGGAGCATGGGACTGGAACTTGAAGGAGAGTTCTGCAACCAGATCTGCTATTGACCTTCTATGTTACCGTGGATCATTCTTTCACTTTTTTTCATAACCAGCTAATGCTTCTGAAATGCTGGAAGTAGAAATCCTCAGAACATGAGGTGTGCAAATACAGTGTAAAAAAAGAAGTGAAAAAGTTCGATGCAACTCAGTGCATTTCATGTTAGGAAGAAAGAAAACTCCATATGCATTTCTCAATAGGATTACTAGTTTTGAAATTATTTCTGGTGGTTGCTTCTTTAAAGCATCCTCTTTTCCCAATTTCTACCACCCCTCTGTGTCCCCCAAAATGTTAAAAATACCATCTTTCTGTCCTCACGCTTAAGTCCTTCTTTTGAGTGATCAGTTAGCTCTCCCCTGGATCAATTCCATAGGGAGTACCTCCCCCAAAGCCAGACTCTACTTCAAGGGTTGTTTTTTTCTCCTTTTGTGTGGTTTTGTTTCTTTTTACTTTTCAGTCAACATTTCCATCCTGAAGTCAGTAATAATGAAAGGGACTTAGTGATTTGGTTAGCAAGTATGTTATAGTACTTCTCCCACCAGTGTATGATTCATATTCCATTTTATGGATTTAGAATGAAAATAATGGTAGCATGAAATTGATAAGCATTTGCAATTGTGCTTACATTTTTCTGAATATATTTCATGGGCGTCAGTCTCTTTTCCCAAGTAACAAGTGATAGGATGAGAGGAAACGGCCTCAAGTTGTGCCAGGGGAGGTTTAGTTTGGACATTAGGAAAAATTTCTTCACCAGAAGAGTTGTCAGGCACTGGAATGGGCTGCCCAAGTGGTGGAGTCCCCATCCCTGGGGGTATTTAAAAGATGGGTTGATGTGGCTCTTAGAGACATGGTTTAGTGGTGGACTTGGCAGTGCTAGGTTAATGGATGGACTCTATGATCTTTAAGGGTCTTTTCCAACCTAAATGATTCTATGATTCTAGGAAGGAAAAACTGAGATTTGGAGGAGGGTGGGGGAATGCATTTGCTGACAGGAAAAGAAACATCAAGCCAACACGGTGATGTTCTCGATCTTAGAAAGCACGCTTTTGGACTGAGACTGACAGCTTAGTAAGCTCGCTGTATGTAAATGCTGTTTGTGCTCATCTTTCTCCTGATCTTTTTTGACGGTTTAACATACACAGTGTGCTTTGAAAACATTGTGTTTGTTTCCATTGAGAGACCTAGGCAAGCAAATAAGCAGCAAAGTTTCTTGTACACAAGTTTTAAGCTGTAAAGCAAGGAGCACAGATGGTGATATTTTTGTCGTATCTTGTAGTTGCACTGGGTTTAGGTGTTGCAACAAGAACAGGTACCATATCCTTAGATGAAAGCATGTTTGTATTGATTATACCCATTTAACTTTTTTTTTTTTTTACAGAAGCTTTTAGTCTTTCTTCTTGCATGTGTAATGTAATGAATTTCTGCAATGTGATTTATTTGCCAAGTACAATAATGCAACAAGTAGTAGCATCTGTAATCCTTGAAGTATGCAAGTTTAGGCTGTTTTCTGAAGAAAATGTCTCTGTCCTCACAAATAGTAATTTCCGATTTCAAGCCCACAAGACAGAAAGAAGGGTTATGGGAATACCTACATTTCACAAATATTGTAGGGAACTGGATCTAGGTAGGAGAAGGACTGAAACCACTTAAAACTTAACTATTATATATGTGTATATGTATTTATAGCTGAAATAAATGCATTTAAGTGGTCTTGAGCTGAAGGCTATTGGCTTTTAAAAGCCAACGTCCAGCTGGCCAGGTAGCTTTTATGTACTCATGTACGGGTGAATGCACTTACAGTAGCTCCTACCAGTTTGGGGGCATGAGGGCAGAGGAACAATATGGGGAGGACCTGCTGGGATGGAGTTCATAGCAAAGTTAAAGTAGAAGCTGAGGAAGGCATGGTGGGAAGGGGAGTTACGTAGTTTTATTGTTCCGGGGGAAGGAGGTGTATCTGAGGCAATCTGCTGGAAGCAAGGGTTCCTTAATTTAGCTACTTACAGAACAAATCAATGACATGTATGAAAAGTTAGCCTGTAGATGTACACAGAATCAGAATATTAGTGATAAGTTGTCTGGTATCGTATCTAGACACATTATTTCAAGATTATTAGTTTTTACTTCCAGTTCTTACAAAATTTGAGGATTTAACTTCATCTACTGGGATAATTTTTTAATATAACGATACTACCGGTATGATATGCCGACTGAACAAACCATTCTCTGTGCCCCTGCAAGGTTAATTGTTTTTTTTTCCTTAATTTGAGAACACATATAAGTGTAAATAATTGTGACATTCTTAAAACTTAACTATTATATATGTGTATATGTATTCATAGCTGAAATAAATGCATTTGAAATCAGATGTATCCTTACATTAAACTGTTCTGAGATGTATTTATTTTTAAGCATTTTGTTCTTTTCCAATTGTCCTTAAACAGTAATTATGACATAAAAACAGTGCTAAACACAGTATGCTATACATTACTGCTGAGTAAAATGCATGAAATATGCCTAGTATTATTTCCTTTCAGGTTTTTTTCTGAATGTAGATGTCATGAAAGCAGAATAATTTTCCATCTTTCAGCTTGCTTTGCTATTTCCTATTTGATCTTTCAAGCTTCTAGTGAAGGCTTAAAAACCCCACAGTTTTTTGTTTTAATAAAGCAAGAATTTACCCCTTGTTCTATTTTTAAATTTTGCAACTATTTCAGATGACAAGAACATGTAGATGTACACAGAATCAGAATATTAGTGATAAGTTGTCTGGTATCGTATCTAGACACATTATTTCAAGATTATTAGTTTTTACTTCCAGTTCTTACAAAATTTGAGGATTTAACTTCATCTACTGGGATAATTTTTTAATATAACGATACTACCGGTATGATATGCCGACTGAACAAACCATTCTCTGTGCCCCTGCAAGGTTAATTGTTTTTTTTTCCTTAATTTGAGAACACATATAAGTGTAAATAATTGTGACATTCTTAAAACTTAACTATTATATATGTGTATATGTATTCATAGCTGAAATAAATGCATTTGAAATCAGATGTATCCTTACATTAAACTGTTCTGAGATGTATTTATTTTTAAGCATTTTGTTCTTTTCCAATTGTCCTTAAACAGTAATTATGACATAAAAACAGTGCTAAACACAGTATGCTATACATTACTGCTGAGTAAAATGCATGAAATATGCCTAGTATTATTTCCTTTCAGGTTTTTTTCTGAATGTAGATGTCATGAAAGCAGAATAATTTTCCATCTTTCAGCTTGCTTTGCTATTTCCTATTTGATCTTTCAAGCTTCTAGTGAAGGCTTAAAAACCCCACAGTTTTTTGTTTTAATAAAGCAAGAATTTACCCCTTGTTCTATTTTTAAATTTTGCAACTATTTCAGATGACAAGAACATTTATTTTCATGCCTTTGAAGTTTTTGTTTAATTGTTACACCTGACCTTCTCTATTTGCTTTTGTGTTGTGCTAGCATTGGTTTGAAAGCTGGATTGCTCTGAGGTTTGTGTCTTACTTGTGAAACAGGAATGAGAAACACATGAAGGACATGTCTTATCTTCCCACTGTGTGATTCAAGTACACGCACCAGAATTAGAAAGTAGAGTTAGAATCTCAAATTGTCAGTGCATATTTTTAAAATATAACTGCATGTGTCACCTTTTATTTAATGTTCGGTTTTCTAATAGAACACCTCAAAAAGCACTGTTTAAGACATGACCTTTAGTTAGCTCATTTCTGGGTAATATTAGTTAAAGATAGTGGGTTGTGTCAATTATATTTTAAGAAGAGGATGATATCTTAATTGCCAGTTTCAATTGATTTCTAGATTTTACTATGTTACTGATAGGGTAGACTTCATCATTTAAGTATTTTAGTATACACAATACATTTTTTACAAACTAACTTCACTGATGTTTATTACAATGTACTTGTTCTTTCGCAGTACTGTGTCCTACATGAAGAGGGCTGCCTTTCAGAATCAGCCATGCTCCTTCCTGTGATGAGAAGCTTTCCGTGGATATAACTCATTGTATTTTTTCATTTGGGCACTATACCTAAACCAGTATGCATTTACCTCCTCTGTGTGTGCGTGGATTTTCTGATCCTACAGTAAGTCTTCTGGGCATGACAACTCATCCATTTTAACTTAATAGTGCAATGAACTGGAGCAGGGAACAAACATTGTACAGTTTTACTCATATTGTTCTGGCTTTTTAAAGTCTATTTTTACATTGTATAGCATGTAGTAAATCCTCCCGCACATTTTGTTGTTGGAAGGAAAAGTAAACTTTGAATAGTGTAAATAAAATAAGCCTAGTTTTAAGGAATCCATATTTAAAAGCATCCTTAGTTCCTATAGCAAAGATGCAAAAAGGATCGTAGTCGGGCTTGGACTAAAAGATTCAAGTGAGTTCTCCAGGAAGAAGCACTCCAGAATGGTGGTGGTGGAAGTCAGCATTCGACGCTTCTTTTAAAACGGTAACTTTGATTGAACTATACAGCAGTGTTGTTCATACAGTGAGCAAATCCAGATTCTTTGATGGCTTGGCATAAGTAATTGGTGTGTTACCTATCCTTGTTATCTAACACAAACATCCAAGTAATGTAATATTTCATATTTGTTTATATTTTAATTATTCATGTTCATGTGGCTTAGCTATTCTCCCATATTGCTGCTATAATTTTACTGGTTTTAATAAGTGGTTGATCTTAATGAAAATGCTTCAATATAAAAACATTTTAAAAGTCTATATCTTTTTAAAAATACATGTACAGTTTGAAAAACTTGCACCTGGCTTCCAAGCTAGTATTATATTGAGACATTGGTGGTTGTGTATCTCTAAATTTTACTACAGATCTCTCTTGGAAATTGTATGCACTCTCTCCTCTGTGACGATGTATCTGCATTCAAACAGATGAGAATGTATTTTACAAATCCTGTAAAGGAAACTACCCTATAATCTCAGCATTAAAAACTTGTCACAAATATAATCTTGACAGTCTTAAAGATTAGATTGAAATGTAAGGAGTACTAATAAAAATAAAGGAACTGTTCTCTAGGTTGAATCCCTATTGAGTCTACACCCAGATTTATATACTGTATATGTGAAGGCACTGGAAGATAAGGTTCTAAAGAGATAAACATGTCTTTTCTTCAAACAGTTTTTTCCATTTAAAGTCTTGAGTCTTTTTATTAGTTGAGAAATTTCATTCATATTCCATTTTATCATCATCACCAAATACTCGTTTTGATCAGTAAAACATATTCAGTTGGAAAATAGTTCTCATAATGCTTTCTCTTTTTTTCTAAAAGCCTCAATATTTTTGTCTTTTGTGCCTTTTTCAGTCAGTATTACTAAGTTTTCAGCTTAAAATTCTTTCCTCCTCCCTCCCCCCCCACGTGACCACCGATGGATACTTGCCAGCCTGCTCAGGAATAAATAGATCCTCGGCATAAGTGTGTCATATGTGAGGACATTGGTTGGGTTTTGTTTTTTGGTTTTTTTTTCTTTATTCTACTTCATTTGTGGTTTCTCTAACAAGAAAGTTGTCATTTATTTCTTTGTCTGATGTGTTACGAACTCACTGTGGCATGCTTTTTCTGTAGAAATGCTTGATGTTGACTATTAGATGCCTGGAAATTGGCAAAGGGGGTGACCCTGCTTTGCTTCATTTTTTTATTTTTTTTTTTTTAAAAGGTGCACATGTTGTGAAACATGTCTCCAAATGAGATCTCTTCAGAGGCTTGAGGTGACAAGCTGGAGCAAAAAAGAAGAAAATAAAAGGAAGAATTTAAAAAAAAAAAAAAACCCAACTTTTGACAAAGTTTGTGGTGTTAGTTGTAGCAAATCTTGGATGACTTAAAGTCATGAAATACTAAAAACAGTAAAACTTGAAAGAAAACCCAACACTAAAGACCAGAAACAGCTTTAGTGAGCTAAGCATCTGCTTGGATATATCATGCCCCTCATCAGAAGAAACAAGATTTCATTACAAAAAGTACCTGTTTATCTTGTATGTAGAATCCTGGCATTAAACAACAGCTGCCAAAAGTGGCAAGTATTATATATACATCTATATATATACATGAGAAAAAAAAAATCTCAGAATATTTGAATAAAAATAACCACGCAGATCTGCTTTTCTGCTGAGGTCTATGGACTTCATATTCTCTATTATGCATCCTTTTTCCAGATGCAATATTGAATCTTGCATTCTTTCAGGGAGCTGGATTTCATTATTCTTTTTAGTTTTAGCATGTGATAGCTGTAAATGGCCAGCCAAGAACAGTTGCTGACAAATACACTAGAAGAGATTTGATAAAAATACATTTTTACCAAAATCTGTTCCATTGTTAATACAAAGTGTGCTGGAAGCAAAGTCTCTTTAAAATATTGAAGTTTAAGTTAATTAAAGTTAGGTTATTTGTATCACTTGCTTTAATAGCCTTTTTTTCTTCTTTTTTTTGTTTTTTTCTTTTTTTTTTTTAATCCAACCCTTTTTCTGGGTTTCAGCTATTACATTTGATGTAAGCTTACTCATTTGCTGGCAAGACTCAGATTTTGAGTCAGGGACTGTCTGGGCAGTGTGTCGGAGGCAGTCAAGAGTCCTAGAGTTAGGTTTTCTTGGTTAAGGAAAGAAACTCGAAAGTAATGTCAGTTCCCTTCTGGGGAAAGATAAGGATTTAGCTGGACTCTCAGCTGGTATAGGTAATTGGTGATAAAGAACATCTGCTCTTGACTATGCCAGGTAACTGTAGCTTTGAACTTGGTGTGGTGGTTTTATTGTAGCAGTTGACATTGTTCTCGCTTCCAGGCTGGATTACCTTGGTATTCTTTCTGCATGCATGTCACCTGGAAGCTGCAGCTAGCCCAGAAGTGGCACTCTGTCTGCTTGGCAACAGTGTCGATAATCAGGTGTGTGTATCTGCACAGCATCGTTCACAGCAGCTGCCTCCTCGTTTCCAAGGGGACAATTTAAGATACAGGTTTCAACTCCTGAAGTTGTAGTAGATGGTACAGAGCCTGTTGGTAGCAGGAAGCCTGCTTCTCCAGCTGTGGCAGCAATGGGCAGTGGAGATCAGCAGCTTCCTTCACTTCAGACAGCATCTACCCAATTCAGTTGGGAAGGGCCTAGAAGCAAAGCTTTCTAGTCAAGCGTTCTCAGCTCTGATGCACCCAAGTCTAAACTTACTGACTTGTCTCATCGTTCTGCAAAGCGCGTCTTTCTTTTGGGCAATGGGACTGTATTGTAACAGGATCCCTGAAGGTTTGGAACTATTTTCTGATTCAGATACCAATCCTAAATATTAAAAACTTCTCATGAACCTCCCAAGTTATCCCTGGATATAAAAGTCACTCCAGAAACCATAAAAACTCTGTCATCCTGTAAAAAAATGAAATCTCAGAACAAAATGGCTCTTGAATCCTGTCAGGTAAATTTAGTGTTCTGTTTCTGTTGGGGGCACAGGAGTGTTTATTTTAAGCCTAAAAAGAAACTTTGATTGTCATGCAGGAAATCTACCTGTTGCAACACTAAGGTAATGCAATTTCTTTCCAAGATGTCAACAATTTGCAGGTAGCAGTGAGTGCTAGGAGGGTTTTATAGGGCATGTCGAATGATGGAGGAGTGCTAGATTCCTTCTAATTTTTCAGTGATAAGAAACTCTCTGCAAGGAAGGTATGCTTTCAGTTTTTAAGTGCTTTGTCCTTGCTGGTGAAATGAAGTGTCTCGTTCCTTTGCTCACATTCTTTTGATCAGGACCTAACTTGGGACTTCTTGCCTTTTTGTTTGTATGTATTGATCAGCGGTGGCTCTCTGGATTAGCTGGTCAGTGTCCAGTCCGAACAATAATTGTTGAAGAAACTCTGTATGAACTGGGAGAACTAGCTACTGAATTTTGTCACTGTATTTTGTTTTTCTCTCCTTTATAATCTGCAAAAGTTGGATAGAAACCTCTCTTTGCACTGAATGCTAATTTAAGCAGAGCTCATAATATTGTTGTTCATTTTCCAACTGGTCTTTGTGTTTTGGTTTTATGTTAACTTTATGTAATAAATATTAATTTTAATTTTCTGTAGCGTTGCATGCAAATTTGTGAATTCAAGTGCATGTTTCTTGGAAACAACATAACTTAGGCTGAATACAATGGGATGAAAAGCTCAGCAAAGAAGGTAAAGTGTTTGGATTTTTTTTGATTGGGAAAATGTTCGGAGAATGCCCTGTTTTTTTCAAAACTGTGGAAAGCAAATTCTGATCCTACATCTGTTTCTGTCGATACGCAATCCTATACAGTTCTGTGGCATGATGATATTCAGGGGCTGACCAATTCAAAGAAAACAGTTCAGATTTTCCCACTGACTGTGTTTTTGGCCTTCAGGAATATTCCATTGCCCAACTCAAGTAGACTGGTGTACAGGAAATCTTTAAAGTGGAATGGCAGCGTTGCTGTTAAAATGTCAGTTCATTTTTATCTGTAGACAAATCACTGACTGCTCCCAGGAATGTTTCCTTCTGCTTGTATTGCCTTCATGGGAAAACTAATTGTGCAAAGTAAGCCCCGTATAGATCATGCTGCGTATCTGTGTATTTTGGAATCTGGGAGTGGAAGATTCCTGAATTAGGATGGAAGTCCCTCAAAACACCTTACAGCTATTTCATCATGAACAAACATCTCCGCAGTATCACCTGCACTCACCTCTTTCCAACCTGAGGGATGGAAATTGTCCTTGAGAAAAATTGGAAAAAAGACAAACACAGAACCTCTGTGGCTTTCAGTTCCAGAAGTTGTTGATACTGTCTGCTAGCAATAGCATGAAAACAGTTGAGGGCTGCTTCCTTCTACATGCATCTGTCATTGGTGTGGGGGGGGGAACAGTCATATCGGCCTGATCTAAACCTCATTGTCACCAGAACCACCGAGCTTTTGCCTGAAATTGAATGCTCGCTTCCTCTAAATGCATATGCGAGACCGTAAAAGATGGAGCCCTAGAAGGCTTGGCTTTGCATTCAGTGCAATTGGGCAGTTCCCCTGTGAACGTTCTGGACGTGGGAGCGCAACATGGCACCGCACCTGCATGTCACACCAAACAGCACGAGGGCGAGCTGGGCTGCTTAAGCACTTGGTACCAAAGGGGTGTCTTGCACAACCACTGCACTTTACGGTGGTGACAGCTTCTCTAGGACAGGGCCCTTGACATCCTCAAGACTTCTGTAGGGCGTTTCAGCCATGAAGAATGGACAGGGAAGTCATCTTTCCTATTTCTGTAGACATTGCTTTTCCAGTGCCTCATGTATTTTTGTACTGCTCTGAGCTGACCCAAGAAGTTGAGGTATGACTTTGCTCACTTAGAACAGACTTACTGTTGAAATTTGGGGTAAAAATCAAGTAAAATCCTGTTGTCTCCAGGGTAATTTCAAGAGCCCTGTATCTAATCCTGCATGCTGGGGTTAGCAAACTATTAATGATTATTTTTTGTCGTGTGCTCTTCGACATAAAAAACAGTTACTGGTAATGACATTGTCTTTTGAAGTGTTGATCAACAGCTCTGTTGGCTGCCTGTAGACAATTCTGCGCTCTCTTACAAATGGCTCCCAGGACAAAGGTTACCTCTGTAGCCAGAATTTTTATCAAAGACAAGCTCAGAGTTTTGAAAAGCCTATTTAAATAAGTGTCTGAAGAACACAGAATGGAATCCAATGGACTTTGCATTAGTATTATCCCTAAACAATTCATGAGCATGGTTCGGTAGTTAGAGCAGTACCAGGAACACAAGATGAGAACATACCACACAGGCCATACCTTTAGCATTCTCTTGTAGAAACTTTATTCCCTGGAACTGAGAAACAGTCCCCTTCCCACAGCTGAAAGCAATTCTGGAGTTGAGACATCAGTTCAGAAGTCAGGAGATGGCTGTGTTCTTTGCCACTATGGAACAGCTCAGGAGGAGGTGGAGATCAGGTGGACTTCAGAAGGTAAGACCAGATACTCGGATTTTCCCACTGACTGCGTTTTTGGCCTTCAGGAATATTCCATTGCCCAACTCAAGCAGACTGGTGTATGGGAAATCTTTAAAGCAGAACGGCAGCGTTGCTGTTAAAATGTCAGTTCATTTTTATCTGTGGACAAATCATTGACTGCTCCCAGGAATGTGAATCCCACAGTGGCCAACTTTCCCTGCCTTTGCCCATGTTCCTCTCCAGGTGGCCCTTCCTGCCCCTTCCCTTGTTTGTGCTCCTTCATATGTCTGCTCCTCCCCATTTGCCTGAGGCTAACTTTGTGCTAACCCTTGCTCCATGCCTCAGTAAGAGGAACAGGATGGGTCCACTATCCTCCCCATGCTACCCCAAACCAATGGTTTTTCTTTTCCCCCTTTCCCAGCATGCTGGTGGCTCTTCATTTGTGTTACCAGCTGTAAGCCCCTTCTCCCTTTTACATACCTCATGGAACGTAAGTAGTTAAGACTCGTATCTTTGGAGAGGGGAAATTCATGAGGGAGCTGGGGAAAGTTGTGTCTAAGTAAGTGAAGCATCTCAGACTGAGCAAGGATCAACCGTACTCTGGGCTGCATCAGAAGTGTGGCCAGCAGGGCGAGGGAGGTGATTCTGCTCCTCTACTCTGTTCTGGTGAGACCTCACCTGGAGCCGTGTCCAGCTCTGGAGCCCTCAGCACAAGAAGGACATGGACCTGTTGGAGCGGGGCCAGGGGAGAGCTACTGAAATGATCTGAGGGCTGGAGCCCCTCTGCTATGAGGACAGGCTGGGAGAGTTGGGCTTGTTCAGCCTGGAGAAGAGAAGGCTGCAGGGAGACCTGATTGCGGCCTTTCAGTACCTAAAGGGGGCCTATAGGAAAGATGGGGATGGTGGAGACCCCTTCCCTGGGAACATTCAAGGCCAGGTTGGACGGGGCTGTGAGCAACCTGATGTGGTTAGCGGTGTCCCTGCTCCCTGCAGGGGGGTTGGACTGGATGGGCGCTAGGGGTCCCTTCCAAGCCAAAACATTCTATGATTCTGTGATTCTAGGATGTGTTGGGGGGTGCTGACACCACCACAGGCAAAGCAGGGGTTGCGGGGCTGGTGGGCTGCTGGCACAGGGAGGCACTGTCTGAGGCAGAGGCAGCCGCTGAGGTGGTGGGGGTGAGGCTGATGGGCAGAAACGTGGTCTGGCTGCTGCAAGCTATTGAGCACTGAGCCCGGGAGGAGGGAAGGGGCTGCTGAGGAGGAGCGGGTCTGGGTGAAAGAGAGGAGGTTGTCACTGTGTGACTTGGAGAGGGGGGTGGGGGGAAGCGAGCACACAGGGAGACTGAAACTCCCGTTTTGCCTGTGTTCGTACAAGTTGGTGGGTTTGTGGAGGCTGTTATGGTCCAGGTCTCAGGTGAGTATAGGGGGACTCTGCTGTTCCTCTGCCTGCTCTGTCTTCACGTGCTAAGGGGAAAACAAGCCTGGGCTGCATGCGTGACTGTGGGGCACAACCCTGTGGCGGTCTGTAATGGCTTCTCATCTTTGCGCAGACTTCACAGTTCAAAGATGATGCACATCACGTCAACCTTCCTAGTGTCTGCCTGTCCTTCAGGTTTAACAGTCTGGCTGAGTGCCTCTTCTAGTAAGCTCTTGGGCAGCGCGAGTGAAGCTAGCAGGAGGTAAGTGATTTTTATTCTAGGCGTGAATTGGACTTGGACCCCCACAGACCCCGGTATCTCCAGGACAGAAGAGACTCTGCCCTCACTCTTTCAAATCAGAGCATTCACAATCTGGCATCAAAGGCAGGACTGGTACAGGTAACCTTGGGGCTTGTAAATTGTTCCTGGTGGTGTCGAAGGGCTTGTATTACAGAAGAGTGGGAGCCTGTCTAGTTGCAGGATGTTTAGGAGTCCTGCAAAGGTTACTAAATAGTGTTATGAATCCTTTAGTGTGTTGCTTCATGGCTTCTTCAACAAGCGGGTGCAATTTTCCCTGTGAGGGACACGTGAGTGTGGAGAGCGTCTTGGTGCAAAGTCTCCTGGGGTCTGCCCTGTCCCAGGGCCCGTTCCAAGGACGCAGCAGCCTTGCATCGGGTACCACCTAGCATGGCTTCACCAAGGGCAAGTCCTGCCTGACGAACCTAGTGGCTTTCTATGATGGTGTGACGTCAACAGTGGACAGAGGGAAACCAATGGATGTCATCTATCTGGACTTCTGCAAGGCCTTTGACACGGTCCCCCACAACATCCTTCTCTCTAAATTGGAGAGCTATGGATTTGATGGGTGGACTGTTCGGTGGATAAGGAACTGGCTGGATGGTCGCATCCAGAGGGTAGTGGTCAATGGCTCAATGTCCGGATGGAGATCAGTGACGAGTGGTGTCCCTCAGGGGTCCGTACTGGGACCGGTGCTCTTTAACATTTTCATCGGCTAGAGGTAAGGAAGAAATTTTTTACAATGAGGGTGGTAAAACACTGGAACAGGTTGCCCAGAGAGGTAGTGGAGGCCCCATCCCTGGAAACATTCAAGGCCAGGTTGGATGGGGCTCTGAGCAATCTGATCTAGTTAGCAGTGTCCCTGCTCACTGCAGGGGGGTTGGACTAGATGACCACTAGTGGTCCCTTCCAACCCTAAACATTCTATGATTCTATGATTCTATGATTCTAGTTTTCAGTCCCTCTGAAGTCTTTGGCTCTCTAACAAGAAATCTGCATCTCTGTTGTGGTCATGTTCATCAGGGCTTGCAGAGTCTCGGGCCTCTTGAAGACTCTCTGCTTCTCTCTGTTGCGGTCAGGTTTGGTGTCTCAGTCCCACATCATGTTTAGTCTTGGCCAAAGGTGAGATGTAAGTGCCATACCTCAGCAATTCTGGTCTTCTCTGCAAACTGTAGCTTCTCCAGGATTGCATGATCACCATACTGTTTCAGGGGGCTCAAGTTTTGTTCAGGCTGGGATCTCTTAAACTCCAGTTTGTCTGTTTATGGAGTCTCCAGCTCATCTGGAGTTAAAAAGCATGTTGCTATCAGTCTGCAAGTTCTCACATGTGTTCCCAGGTGTCTGGGTCTC